TGGGTAACTTAGTGAGACCTTGTCTCAAAATAGAATACAAAGGGCTGAGGGTGTGGCTCAGTGGTAGGTAACTTGTCTGGCATGCACGAAGCCCTGGGTTCAATCCAAAAAATAAATAAATGAATAAAATCTCCCAGCAACAATTCCATTCCTGGTAAATATACTGAAAACTGGCCCTCAGAGCAGCAGAGGTGCACGCTCCCACTAGCAGTATTCACAGTCCCCAAGGGGAAACATGTCCATCCTCCAGAGAATGGGCATACACAACACGGTCCAGCCTCATGTTCTAAAAGGGAATAGGGCAGTGTAGGAGCTGCCTGGATGCAGACCTTCAAGTCCTGATGCCCTGGGGCACTGGCCAATTATTGCCAGGCCATAATAACTTGGGCATTACCCCAGCTCAGATAACAAGATGTGGCTTCAGGTGTAGGTGTCACCCATGGGGGGTGAGCTACTCACCAATTCCTTTGTAATCCCAGCCCTGGCCTCATTTGAATGGCTTCTCCCCAATAAAAGGATTCATGTGCTCCCCACTCTCTTTCTTGCCTGCCTTGCCCCCCTTGTGGGAGCTGTAGCTGAGGAGCACTGAACCCAAAGAAAAGGTGATTTCTGTGTCTGTGTCTTTATTTACTTCCCAAATTTACTTGGAGTGATCCTGACTGGTCCAGTCGTGAGACGCGACAGAGCCGTGAGGCATGATCCATGCTGCGCTGCCGGGGAGCCTCAGCCACAGCAGCCCATGAATTAACCCTGACACGAAGACGCAGGCTGTTTCCATCTCTGTGAAATGTCCATACAGACAAACCTAGTGCCTGCCCGGGCTTGGGGAAGGGCAGGCAGGTAGGGCCGGCCGCTTAAGGACTCTGGGGCATCCTTTGGGGGCAGAGGAAACCGCTCTGCAGCAGAACGTCATGGACAAGATGTGACCGAGTTGTTCATTTTTAATGGCTTTATGTCATGTAACTTTTGCCCAATAAGACAATCAATACACAAGCAAGCTCACCCTCCCTGGAGGGTGGAGGGTGAATTTTGAGGGGCAAAGACGTGTTACAGGACATCCAGCTGGGAACTCCTGCAACAGTCCCAGGAAGAGGCCAGGCGCCCTGGGCTTCCGTCAGCTGGGGCCTCAAGACGCCGAGGCCCAAACGAGCGCTGCTCTCTCGGCTCAGACTGGAAGGCCTCGATGACAGGGGCAGCCGGCATGGCTTCTGGTGAGCAGGTGGCACCCTCACATGGAGGAGGGCAAATCACCCGTCTCTTCTTCCAGGGGCACCAATCCCATCCTTCATGACCTACTCACCTCCCAAAGTGATTATCACACGCACCTGAATACACACCGCCTAAGACCGCCACTGTGACTTGGAGGGACACAGATGGTCTGTAGCACTTAGCTAGGGGGTGGCAGCAGGAATGGAAACAGGTGGCAGGACTTGCGATCAGGTTTGCAGGTTGAAGTGACAGGGGTGCTGAAGGGTGGGGGACAAGACAGGCGGAGAAGACCACCAGGGCTCCCAGGCCTTGGATTTGGTGAACTGGGTGGACACCCCGACTGTGGACTCCAACTTCAAAATCCACCCTCACACACACACACACACACACACACGTACCTGTAGGCAAAAACGTAGACCTATGAATGCATGAGTGCACACACGTATACACAAGCACACACCACATCATGACAACCATGCACACACAGAGGTGCACCTGCACACACATATATACGTGACCTGAAAGCACATGTACAGAACACGTGTGTGTGCACAACGCTCCACGTGTGCACTTGCTCATATGCCCACACATGTGCACACACATGCACGCACACACTCACACATGCACGTACCTGGATCCACACGAGTGCACACACAGGCACACAGCACAGCGCTCTTTACGCCTCTGCACTCCACAGTGTTTGATTTGTCAGGCTGTCTCTCTCACCCGGGGCAGTAGGAGGTCCACAGGAGGAAGGACCTTGTCCCTCTCATTCACTGCTGTCTCCTGAACCCAGGGCAGTGCGTGGCCCACACGGGGGCTCCGCAGGAAACCTTTGGCCACCAAGGAAACAAAGCCACTGAGAAGGCAGAGCTGGGGCCTCCCCACCCGACCTGCACCTGAGTCACTTTTTCAGATGTCTTTGGAAAGTGTGAGAGACCGCCTCAGTGAGAGTGACAGGGGGCAGGGCCTGGGGGACAGGAAGAAGAGGAGGGTGCGTGGGGAAGGGGAGGGGCTGACCCTGGCATTAAAGGCAGCCCCGGAGCCCAGGGGCGCCTTCTGCAGCCTGCAGAGCCCAGGAGTGTTGGGCAATTGTGGTTTCCTCTGAGCCGAAGCCGCTCAGCGCGGGCCCTACCCGGGCGTCCTGGGCCTCGTCTGATTGGACATGGAGGAGACAGTCGTGCGGCCCTCTGTATTTGTGGTGGATGGACAAACAGACATCCCATTCAGGAGGCTGGGGCCGAGCCACAGGAGACAGTGCTGCAGCCCTGCGCGGCTCAGCCTGGCTCTGCTGCTGCTGCTGCTGGGCGCGGCGCTGGCCGTCCAGGGCTGGTTCCTGCTGCAGCTTCACTGGCGCCTGGGGGAAGTGGTCACCCGCCTGCCGGTGAGTGGGGCCAGGGGCTGGCAGAGCGGTCTCCTGTGCCATGGTGTGTCTGTCTGTGCATGTGTGAGGGACAGAAAGTGTGTGACCCTGAGTTGCTGCCAGCCCAGGGGAGTCAATGCACTCCTCTGAGCCTCAGATTCCCCTTCTGTAATGGGGGTAAGAGTGGCCGATTCCTAGGGGATGAGGCATGATTTGGGGTACGTGGGGTGCGTGGCAGTGGCTGGCCCAAGCAAGTGCATAGCCGATCAGAAGGGACTCTCGGGCATTGCTTTATCATTAGCCGGACACTCGGCCCTGCATTGAGATTCCCACCTGTCCTCTTAGACTGTCTGGGGCTGGGGGCCTGGATCTCAGTTGGATTCCAGTCGGCCATCCTCATGTTGTGTGCCACCTAGGCACATGCTCGTGCCACAGTGTCCCAGGTGGTCTTGTCCCTCTGTGTCCATGTCCTGTCTCCTGGTCCTCAGCTCTGGTGGCTGCATGTCCATGGGCACACGTCATGGGGACAGTGCTGCCGTCCTGGGCACAGCTACCCACACGTGCACACACTCACCTGCTACACCCCGTGTGCGGATGTGCATTTTGCCACTGTCTCTGCGCCTGTGACTCATTTGGGCCCATCACCCATGCGCCCAAGTGTCTCGGTCCACAAGTGTCCTCTCCCTGTCCTTAAAAGTTGAGATCTGTGCCCTGTCAGGCATCCTGGCTGGTGTCCTTGTGTCCAGCCATCTGGATGTCCATGTATTTTTAATCCAAAAATCTGACATCCTGAATGCTCCAAAATCCAGAAAGCTTTGAGTATAATGTGATGCTTAACAGTTTCAGGTTTTGGACCATTTGGGATTTCTGGATGAGGGATGCTCAACTGATAAAAATCTATGCAAATATTCCCAACCCCCACAACAAAGCTGGAACATTTCTGGCCCCAAGCATTTCAGATAAGAATGTATTGACATACTTGCTCACCTGCATTGTTCACCTAGTAGACCCCTCCACAGTGGGTACTGTGTGCCAGACGCTCTAATGTGCTTTACACAACTTAGTTTATTAAATCCGAAGGGGGCACTCCTCATAACTCCTTTTAGAGAGGGAGAGCGAGTGGTTCAGAGGCTGCTGGGAGGGGTGTGTGTGTGCATGTGTGTGTGTGTGTGTGTGCATGCCCCCATGCACCCACGTGGCCCTAAGTACGCGTCCAAGGGTGGGGTCCATAGTCAGAGTCTGGCTGTGTCATTGCCATATGTCTGAGGGATACTGGGGTGTGGCAGGTACTCACTGTGGGTTCCTTCTGCATTTTAGGACCCAGACGCAGGCTCCAGGGAGAAGCTGAGGCAAGGTGAGTCAGGTCCTGGTTCCCAGGAAGGAGGGGGAATGGTTCCATGCTGCCCCCGCCCCCAGCCCATTGCCCAATGTGATTTGCACAACTGGTCCAAGCCACACAGGTGCCCCTCCCCCTGGCCTGAGAAGCAGAAGTTTGGGTCACTCCGGAAGGGCTAGGGTTGACACAGGGAGATGGTTGTGATGACCCCTAGGAGGCTGACCCTTACCTCTCATTGTCTTTGCCTCTAACCTCTGTCCCTCTCTCTCCAGAGCAGAGATCCCCCCAGGCCAACCCAGCAGCACACCTCACAGGTAAGGGGGACCTAGGTGCTGGTATGCAGTGGGGGTCCAGGGGTTCTGGGAGACCAATGCCCTGCATGTCCAAGCACTCGTTTATTCATTCATTCATTATTTATTCTGGAGTTGCCGTCCTCCCCCGCCCCCCCGGGCTCCATGGATATGTAATGTCCTGGATTGTCCATGGGTCTGTGTCCCAAAACCCCACGGGACACCTGAAACCAAGAGAGCATCACACCCCACACATATCAATTTTTTAAATTTTTTTTCAAATATTTATTTTTTAGTTGTAGTTGGACATGATACCTTTATTTGATTGTATGTGGTGCCGAGGATCAAACCTAGGGCCCCGCGCTTGCCAGGTGAGCGTGCTACCACTGAGCCACAACGCCAGACCACATACCACATTTTTTCCTGTGGATGCACACCTATGACAGAATGGGATTTATAAATTAGGCACAGTGAGAGGTTAACCATAACGAATAACAAAATAGAGCAGGTACAACAATATGTTATAATGAAAATCACTTAAAACCTAAGTTGTTTCTGGAATTTTCCATTTACTATTTGGGGGCTGCAGTTGACTGAGAGTAACTGAAACCATGGAAATTGAGACCACTGATACCGGGGACGAGTGCATTTCTAATTTTGCTGATTTCATAAACCCTCTAGAGCACTGCCTCTGGGTCACGCCCTGCCATATGCTTGGCAATTCTGTAAAGTGCTAAGCAAATGCCATTAATAGCTCCATTTTACAGAGGGGGAAACTGAGGCTCAGGAAGTTGAGGCTGCTGGGCCCAGGCATGTCCTGCCTTGGTCTCTGGCTCTGCCACCACAGGTGCTGGCATTGCACCAGGTCATCTTGGCTCTGTGTGGTAGTTTCCTCTTGGTGTTCCCGTTACTTTGCCCCTGGCCTCCGTTTCTCCACGTGCAAAAGCAAATGAGCTGAACGGCATAATGAGCAATCTCCTCTGCTTCCCTGAGCCTCCATTTCCCTCATCTGCAAAGAGGGAATAAAGTGAATCAATCCATACAAAGAGCCTAGCAGCGAGGCAAAGTCTCAGAGAGGGGTGGCCACCAGCCTAGGGTCACCCACAGGAGTGGGGCAGGTGCTGACCAGCTCTCCCCTTCTCCTCTCCACAGGGGCCAATGCCAGCTTGACGGGCAGTGGGGGCCCACTGCTGTGGGAGACGCAGCTAGGCCTGGCCTTCCTGAGGGGCCTCAACTACAGCAATGGGGCCCTGGTGACCACCGAGGCTGGCTACTACTATGTCTACTCCAAAGTGCAGCTGGGCGGCATTGGCTGTCCCCAGGGGCCCACTGGCGGCCTTCCCATCACCCACGGACTCTACAAACGCACCCCTCGCTACCCCAAGGAGCTGGAGCTGCTGGTCAGCAGGCGGTCACCCTGTGGGCGGGCAAACAGCTTCCGCCTCTGGTGGGACAGCAGCTTCCTGGGTGGCGTGGTGCACCTGGATGCCGGGGAGGAGGTGGTGGTCCGAGTGCCCGATGAGCGCCTGATCCGGCTCCGTGATGGCACCCGCTCCTATTTCGGAGCCTTCATGGTGTGAAAGAGTGGACGGACTGGGGACCTAACCCGCAAAGACGTCGACGCGGGCCACAGGGGACCAGAAACCCAGCAGGCAGAGACCCCGGAGGACCCCCAGAGGTGGGGGGTCAGCGGACGCCACTGGGAGGCGGAAGACCCACGCAGACTGCGGAGCTGCCTGGGACAGCAGGACGGGGACTGTGGACGCGGGGTCCCCAGGCCCCTTGCGGGCTGCGCTGATTTGCCTGATATTCAGGAAGAGGGGACGCGGGTATTTATACTTTGGATCAGGGAGAAGGTGGCGCTCGGGGCTCCCGGGATTGGCTGGGGACTCGTACTTTGGGACCTCCCTGCGGTCCGAGCGTGGGCAGAGGATTGATCATAGGACTCTCCACGTGGAGAACTCAGCCCTGCTCCGCCCGTAGTCGTCACAGTCACAGTCACAGTCAGGTCACACACTCTGGGCTCACCCACGGATTTCCAGCGTTGCCAGTTACCATGGTTTCCGGCCCCACCACAGGGTGTTTCCAGCTACCAGGTAGCACCAGCGGCTGGCTGGTCCCCCGCCAAGGACACTGCCACGGGGAACCAAGCACGCAGTCAGCACTCAGGGACGCTTGCTGATTAAAAAAAAGGATGACCGGGCAGTCACTGCCCTGGCCTCATGCGGAGTCCTGCTCAAGGCTCCCCCACCTCCTGATGCCACTCGCCCGATCCACGCACAACTGCACCATCCCACCAAGACCAGTCGTCACCGTCGTGATGCTGCGTGACACACACATGTGATGCAAGCATGTGCCACCCACAGCCGCCCACACCAGTGTCATGGTCACATGTGAGTGTTCATTGCATGCGACATCCACCCGCCACATTGGGGTGAGACCTGGTTCCTCACAGTGACAGACCCCACATCACACACACACAGCCTGAGGTTCCTGCCCAGCCAAGGTTCACATCCTGGGCTTAGCAGGAGACCTCGAAGGGAGTCCTTGGCCCCTTGACCATGGTCCTGGAAATAAATGGCAGACACTGCACCTGGTTCCGTCTAGTTCTTAGGGGAAGACTGGGGATGGAAGGGGGGCAGGTGACAGGCCCAGAGAGCCCCATGGGGCAGGGGAGGTCCTGGGCACAGGGCAGCAGTGGCAGCAGGCGGTGATGCCCAGAGGCAGAAGGATGGACACCATGACCCAGGGAGGTAACTGTGTATGTGAGGAACCTGAACGAAGGGTGACCCAGCTCCTGAGGAAGTGGAGGTGACACTGTCCAGGCAGAGTGACCTCACTAACCATGTCCAGGCAGAGGGACCCCGGCAAAGCCAGCTGGAGGCTGGGAGTGAGAGGGGCACAGGAGATGGCTGGGGGCAGTGAGGGCCTGGGTTCAGATCCACACCTTCCACCAAGGAGCACCTCCTGAGGCAGGAGGGACGTCTTGGCTCCTGGATCTGAGGAGGCAGGCTCCACTCCCGAAGGTGGATCAATGCTTATTATTGTTATTGTCAATATGGTTCATGTCATTGACACATGGTACAGGCGAGAAGGCACTGGGCATGGCCATCTGATGACTCCAAGTCCACTGTGCCACTGCCTGGGGCTGTGTGACCTTCAGTGCGGCCCACAACTTTCCAGTGCCTCAGTTTCCTCATCTGTAATATGGGGGAAGGAAGCGAAAATACTCACTTCCTAGGCTCACTGCAAAGATGGAATCAAATTATTAATTTCATATTATGACACCAGTGGTGTGCCATCAGCAATAAGTGTGCAAGTGCCGTTGGAGAGTCAGACGTGCTATGGAAGGATAGCGTCGGGGGGCACTCTCCACGGGCCGGGTGCCTCGTGTGCACTGTGACTTTATGGAAATACCCAAGCCCTGGGCAGAAGCTCTCATATCCCATCTTTTAGATGCAGAGTCTCTGACCCAAGAGAGGCAGGGCCATCTCCCTCTCCCACAGCACGAGGTGGGCCAGGGAAGCTCTCCACCTCCTTGCCCTGGTGGGCTGGCAGAGGGTGGGGGGCCCCAAGGGCCCAGCCCTAGCCCCCGCCGGAGTTTCCTTTCCTCTCATCATGGTCTTTCTGTTTCCGCGGCTTTGATGAGACCAAGGTGTGGGGGACAGTGAATTTATAAAAGCCACCAGCAGTCACCAACTTCCTCCTGGGGATGGAACCTCTTGCTAAGTTTGGTCTCCACAAGTCATTCTGGGAGGGCTTTGCAGCCTTGAGGAGGAGGAGGAAGGAGAGGAAAAGAGGTGGGTGAGGAGGAGAGGTAGGAGGGGCGGAGGAGAGAGAGGGACAAGGAGGAAGGGGACTCGGGGAGGCCGAGGGGCAGGGGCAGAGCCTGGAGGCTGGACCCCCACTTGGTTTCTGATGAGGAGCAGGGGCAGGAAGCCCCCGGCCCAGGCCACTGACCTACTTTTCAGTTCCGAGAACTTTATCAGTTGCATTTCCTCTCCCACTGCTTGGCTCCACCATGCCATCTTCAAGCCGGGGACCTCGGTCCACCCTCCTCACCCTTCCCCCACCCCGGGCAGGAAATCCTCCCCCTTCTCTTCTCTTGCTCAGACCCAGAGACGGGAGACATAGAAATAATGACAATAAAGCAAATTATTAATTTCATATGATGACACCAGGCTCCTGCTGAATGCCACTGAGTTCAGACGCTTGAGAAGTACCGCCGCGGAGCAGCAGCACGGTTCTGACGCTGGGGCAGGCGGCCTGAGTGCCATCCCCGCTGGGCCACCTTGGGACCCATCCTTGGCTTCTCTGAGTGCCACTGTCCTCACCTGTATAGCAGGTTGAACCGCGGCCTCTACCTTTTCCTGGTTTTTGTGACTTGAGCATTTTGCAGAACCTGGCCAGCCATGAGCTCTTCAGTCCTTGGCAGCTGTTCTTTTTGTAAACATGGTCGCTGCTATGTTTTGGACACAAGTCCCCAAAGTTCTGTGTGTACAGTCTTGGTCCCCAGGCTGTGGCACTATTGGGAGATGGTGGAACCTTTTTGAGGGAGGTTCTTAGGTGATTGGGGCACGTCCTCAGGGGACACAGTGGACCAGACCCCTTCCTTTCCCAGCCACAGGGCGAATGGCTTTGCTCCGTCGCACACTCCTGCTATGATGTGCCGGGACCGGCCCAGATCAACAGGGCCAGTTGGTGATGGAGGAAATCTCAAACTGTGAGCCAAAATACGTCTTTGCTCATTATAAGTTGATTATCTCAGGTATTTGTTATAGCAACAGAAGACTGACTCACAAGGTTGTGATTGTGTGCACGTTCACCTTTCTGATTCTTCTCAGTCATGACATCAGAGTCCTCACATCCAGAGCCCACGATCACCAAGGGCAATTTTTTCAGGGGGAATTTGTGGCCAATGTTTAAGCATGAGGACATTTTACACATGGGCGAATGCAGACCTCTGGGTTTTCTCGGGAAGGTGGAGACTGTGACCACAGCCCGGCTTGGGTTGTGGCTGTTCCCTTTGGGTAGGGATGGGCTCACCAGCTCAGCGCAGACCACGCCCCTGCAGCTGTCTCCCACACGGGGACTGACCGTGCTCCTGCTGCTCATCTAGAGGAACGGTGATCACGCGTTAGAGCTCGTTTCTGGAGTGCTCCCTCCCAGCCAGGTTCTGTGCACGTTCACATGAACCCACTGGACCCCCTGCCCTGTAGGGACGGGGAGGCTGTTGTGATCCTTATTCCATGGCTGGGGAAATCCAGGCACAGAGAGGTCAAGCACAAGGGGCTCTTTTTGTTATTTTTTTCCTTTTTGATGCATGCACTCGATAAATTGCATGAGTTATTCAGAAGTTTACTAGAAAATCAGCTTTGTGGGAGATGATTTTGCCACTTGTGGGCCAGTGTGACCGTCCTGTGTCTGGGGCAGGCAGGGCTGAGGCAGGCGAGCCCTGGTATCTTTGGTGTGAGGTCGACTGATTTGTTAATTTTCGAACGACGCTGGGTCTATCGGGACCCAACCTTGTTGTAAAAGCATCTTGTTTTTCTACCTTTGATGGAGAAGCGTCTTGACACTGGACCCACAGGTCCTGGGACGGTGACCCACACTTCCTAAGGTGGGAGAGGGCCTCGCATCACTCTGCTTCCACCACTGTCCTCTGGGACAAGGGAAGATGTTTCTGTTCATTGAATACTCGGGCTGCCTGTGTCCATGTTAGAAACAGGAAGCGGACCCGCTGCTTCCCACGGTTATCTGTGTTGACCCCCGTGGGCATCGAGTTCACAACCCTTGAGTGATAAGATGACAAAGATTGTGACAGGGTGTGGGGCTGTGCGGTTGGTCTTGGAGGTGGTGAGATGGCTAGGGGAAGCCAGGGGGCTCCCTGCAGAAGGGGCAGCCTGTGCAAAGGCCCTGAGGAGCGTCCAGATGGACACGCTGACGGGCTTAGCTGGGGGCCCAGTGTCATTACAGGGTCTTTACAGGAGGGAGGCAGGAGGATCAGGGGGAGAAGGTCCTGTGAGAACAGAAGTAGAGCAGGCAGGAGGGAGGGGAGAGGGGGAAGGGAGAGGGGGAGGGGGAGCAGAGAAGTGGGGGAGGAGGGGACTTGAAAGGAGCGTAGAGACATCCAAGGACAAGGAAGCTGGAGGGGCTGGGGTGGGGGTCAGGGAGGACCTTGTCTAGGCCACTAGGGTTTAGGGTTTTATTCCAAGTTAAGTAGGAAAACATGGGAAGGATTTTAAGTTGTTGATGCCTAAAGACTTTTTAAAAAATCTTATTATAGAAACTTACGAACATCCACAAACAAAGAGGGGGAAAGGGTCTAAAGCCCCCTGTGGGCCAGTGTGAGCGTGTCTGGGGCAGGCGGGGCTGAGGCAGGCGGCTCCCTGGGTGTCTTTGGTGTGAGACCAAGTTCAGCAGCTCTCAATCCGCCCCCCCCCCCCCCCCGTGAAGACTTTGTCCACCACCCCTGTTTATATGTTGACCTCGTGTCAGACACCCCCCCCATTTCACATCCCACCCAACATTTTGAAAGCATCTCTAAAAGATAGGATCCCTCTCTCCCTCTCTTCATGTAGATGGATAGATGAATCATGGATGGAGAGATCAGAGATAGATAGACAGACAGACAGATAGATCATAGATAGATGGACAGATAGGATCTCAAACTAGGCCCGTGTATGGGAGGCCTGACCCTCAGCCCAGGGTGCTTTTGAAAGGTGGTGGAAACTCCAAGACGTGAGGTTTTAGGTTATTGGGGGGTGCCCTCAAAGGGGACCACAGGGCCGTGGTTCCTTCCACTCTCTCTTTATTTCCTGGATGCCAAGAGGTCAGCAGCTTCTCCACCTCACACTTCCTGCCATGACCTTCTGCCTCACCACAGGCCAAGTGACCATGGACCGAAGCCCCTGAAGCCATGAGCCAAAACAAACCTTTTCTCTTTTTAAGTTGATTCTCCCAGGTATTTTGCTACATAATGGAGGCTGACAGATACACATATATAAAACCATGTAGTCACGATCACACTCAACAAAAGAGCCAAAGTTCCCTAATAATACCAGTTACCCACAGCCCAGCTTCTAGGAGCATTGGTTTCTCTCTCTCCTCCCAGTGCAGCCTAACCCAGATCAAATCTCATGATGCAACTACTAGCTTATAGCAGGGGTCCATAAACCACCATCAGTGGGGAAAATCCTATCCAGTCTCTGCTCTTGTCAGCTCACCAGCCGAGAGTGGATTTTGCATTTCTACATAGTTGAAGAAAATTTAAAAAAATACTAGTCAGGGTCCTCCAGAGAAATAGAACCATGGGTGGGAGGGTATAGAGGCCTCTTCCACTGGAAAAGAAGACTCATCAGAATTTAGGGGCTCAATTGCTCCCAGTTTCCTC